CAAAGAACCCTGAATAGTAACTTAACAAAAGTTTAGAGAAGAAAAAAATGGGATTTGTTTGGGTCGTAATGAATTGTCTTTCTGGCTAGGATATAAAGTACATACTGGAGAACTTGTAGGTGGAAATAAAGTTGGAAAGGGTACTTGGCTCTGGAATATGGCGGGCCTTGACTATTAGATTCAAGTGATACTATCAAAGTCAAAAATTTTAAAAGTTTAAGTGGGAGAAGGAGCATTTGGGAGATAGGGAAATCAAGGTGGCTAGTAAAATAACTTCTTTTATAAATTCTTGCATTGTTCTACACTATTTATTTAACTTACCATAATTTTTTGAGAACTGATACTATACCCAGGGTGCCAAAAGAAGTATACACATTTTAGGAGATGTTATCTATGTATTACTTTTAGTTCACTGTAACCAGAAGTGTCTGGACACTGATGGTAACCACTCTGAGCATCTCTTGTAATTGCAGAAGTCAAATGTGACTTGTACTCATTTTTTTGTTATCATGTATGTTGAATATTGCTATCTTTTTTTTTTAATTGTAGAGACGAGGTCTCAACAATTTGCCCAGGCTGGTCTTGAACCCCTTGGGCCCAGGCAATCCACTCACCTCGACCTCCCAAAGTTCTGGGATTACAGGCTGAGCCACCAAACCCAGCCGAGTATTACAATCTTAATACAGTCTTTTCCTTTCTTAAAATGTGTATACATTTTTTGAGGAACACCCTCTGTATATAGATTCAGTGCTGGTATAGGACTATAAAGATGATTAAGACATTGTTTCTTTCCAGAGCCTCCACGCTGAAAGGTTAATCAGACCTGCTCATGTGAGAGATAAATTACTAGGATTATATAAGAGTTGTTGGTATTTTATGTCAGAGAAAGTAATAAACTCTTATGTTGGGTTAGGAAAGGTTTCAGATAAGTGATGATTTCTGAAGAGAGTTTTGAATAGTGGTTTGCCTGGTGGTCCTGGTGGAGTTGGGCATAAACATGGGGATTAAAGGTTTGAAGTTCTAGAAATATATCAGGATTAAAGATAAAGCCTTAGGTTAATAAATTCATAGCTTAAAAATGGATGAAATTGAGCCGGGCTCGGTGGCTCAGCCTGTAATCCCGCACCTTTGGGAGGCTGAGATGAGTGGATTGCCTGAGCCCGCGGGTTCGAGACCCGCTTGGGCAGCAAGACCTCAGCTCTACAATAAATCAAAAAATCAGCCGGGTGTGGTAGCGGGCGCCTGTAATTCCGGCTACTCGGAAGGCTGAGGCAGAAGGATCGCTGGAGCCCAGCAGGTCGAGGCTGCGGTGGCCGGGAGCAACCACTACATTCCAGTCTGGGCGACAGAGTGAGACTCCAACTCAGAACAAACAAACAAACAAAAAACAACAACAGAAAAATGGATGAAATTGCCCAGAGACATAGACAATAGTCAGAAAAGAAGAAAAAGAAGAACGGAACTTTAAGGAACACTGGCAGTTAAAAGATGTGCTGAAAAAGATAATGCCCAGCAGAGGACACTGAGACAGGAGTGAGCATTTAAGAACTAACCATCACCTGAGCCCAGCAGTTTGAGAGCTCTGCCCTCCAGCCTGGGCAACAGAGTGAGATTCCAACTTGGGGAAAAAAAAAAAAAAGCCACTAACCATAAAACGGGGCTGCCACAGAAGCCAGGTGAGGAAAAAGTTAGAGGATGGGAGAAGCAAAGTGTCAGAAGCTACAAGATTAAATAAAAACAGGACCAAAGAATGTCTATTAGTTTGGACCATGGAAGGGTTATTAATCTAGTGTGAGTCATTTCTGTGGAATGGTGGGGGCAGGCACTAGCTAACAGGGAGTAGATGGGGAGATGAAGAAGGGAAGTGGAAAATTGCATTTCAAGAAAATTGTGGATGAAAGAAGGATATTAGTGGAGGGAAACAGGTCAAGGGAGGCTTCTTTCTTTGTTTTACTAATGAGAAAAAACTAATGCATATTAGTCCTGGAGATCCATACATGGGCTTTCCTAACATTTTTGGCATCAGGGATCTGTTTTGTGGAAGACAATTTTTCCACGGATGAGGGATGGGGGAGAATGGTTTTGGAATGATTCAAGTGCTTAACATTTATTGTGCACTTTACTTCTATTATTGCACTGTAATGTATAATGACACGTATAGCATCACCACCTCAGCTCCACCTCAGATCATCAGGCATTAGATTCTCATAAAGAATGCGCAACCTAGATCTCTTGCATGTGCAGATCACAGTAGGGTTTGTGCTCCTATGGATACTTGGATAGGAATTTTTTTTTTTTTTTTTTTTTTTGAGTTGGAGTCTCACTCTGTTGCCCAGACTGGAGTGCAGTGGCCGCTCCCGGCCACCGCAGCCTCGACCTGCTGGGCTCTGGAGATCCTTCCGCCTCAGCCTTCCGAGTAGCTGGAATTACAGGCATCGCTACCACACCCGGCTGATTTTTTGATTTATTGTAGAGATGAGGTCTTGCTGCCCAGGCGGGTCTCGAACCCGTGGGCTCAGGCAATCCACTCACCTCAGCCTCCCAAAGGCACGGGATTACAGGCTGAGCCACCAAGCCCGGCTTGGATAGGAATTTAATGCCACTGTTGATCTGACAGGAGGTGGAGCGCAGGCGGTTATGTGAGAGATGGGGAGTGGCCATAAATACAGGTGAAGATTTGCTCTCTCACCTACTGTTTATTTCCTGGGGTTCCTAACAGGCCACAGGTCAGTACCAGTCTGTGGCCCAAGGGTTGGAGACCTCGACCTTAAAGAAAATAAGATGTTCTTTTTGACAGTGTAAATACACAGTCTCAGTCTTGATCCAAGATGGGCTTGTCTTATTTTGTATTCTTCTGTAAAACAAAAATATAGTGCTATTCTAATATAACTGTGTAGAAATGTTAAAAGGATTGAAATCTGCCAGGAGCAAATTAATTTTGGATCATATATTAAAAATTTTAATCTGGCTATATGTAGACTTAACTTTTTAAATGAGGGAAAGTCAAGCCAAATTCTAATTCCAGATATGTTTTTTTCTTAGGGGAAAATATTTTGAGTACACACAAAACGTGTGTGACAACTGATCCTCTTCCTAGATTGGTGGTAACAAAGGGTTAGCAAAATTTAATAATCTAATTATTGTTTTAGTAAAGTATTAATTTATACTAATGATTCCCCATTTTGGATTGACCATTCTTCTGAAGGGCTGGTCTACTATAGGTACTGTAGCCATTTTAAACTTCTTGACTTGTCTAGTCTATTGTGTTAGTAAGTCTCATTAGGACATAACCCAATTTTAGAAAAAGAAAAAAGTTTGATTCAAGAGACTGAACTATAATGAAGTTTTAAATAAACTTTTATAAAGTCAAACTGTTTCAGTTATTTAGAACCAAGAACTATCTGTCTGCCTTTCAGCTTTATTTCTTTCTAAAGACAGTCTTTATTTTCAACCATTGTAAAATTGCTTTCTCCTAGGAGAAAGACTAGTGGATGCCAACAAGTTCTGGGCTCATATTGTCATTCTCCAGGAGAGAGGAGAAGATATTCCCCTTGCTCTAGAACTTTGATTATCCCCTTGGGCCATATGCCTATCCCACTCTCTACCCCCCAGACGATGTGGCCAGAGGGAATGAACTACTAACATTAGTCCAACTGGGATTAGATATTCATCATTTGCCAAGTCACTGTGACCAAAGAAGCGGGGTCATATAAGAAGACAGCATTTTCTACTTCCTTCCTTGGTGGGCAGGGGGCCCTTGACATATTGATGCCAGGTAGACAAAACTATAATTGTTCAACACATTTGTTTAGCAAAAAACTTATCTGATATTTGAACAGATGGGCTGATTGGTTTCGAATGAATGTATGAGAAAGTTTTCTGAAATTAACTAAATTAAAGAAAGTTTTCTGAAATTTCTAGCAGGGCATGTCTCTGCTAGAGAAGGGAATGTTTGGGTTATATGTTGATTGTGATAGTTTAAATAAAACATGTATAGAGACTTGGTACTTTACAATTTAAAAGTAATTCTACTTGTATCAAGTTTATTTGAGTTAGAAATAATTCAGTAGATATTTTTTATTTTCCTTTTAGAGAGTATGGACTGAGTTTTTGTTTTTGGGTTTTTTTTTTTTTGAGTCAGAGCCTCACTCTGTCACCCAAGCCGGATAGAGTGCAGTGGCACACTCGCAGCCACCGCAGCCTCGAACTGCTGGTCTCGGGTGATCCTTCCACCTCAGCCTTCCAAGTAGCTGGAACTACAGGCACCACCATGGCTGGCTAATTTTTTGATTTATTGTAGATATGAGGTTATGTCAAGTTGCCCAGGCTGATCTTGAACCAGTGGGTTCAGGGAATCCTCTCACCTCAACCTCCCAAAGTGCTGGAATTATAGGTGTGAGCCACCACTCCTGGCCCGGACTGAGTTTTTAGGGGAAAAAAAAAATTTTTTTTCTTGCTCAAGATCCCATAACTAGTGAGTAAGATAGTGACTTTTGGTTTGGAATCAGTGACTCTGATTTCAAATATTTCTTCCATTATACCTGATTCTTAATGCTACTGAAAGTATAATTTTTAAAAAGAATTTTAAGACCTTGCCCAGTTTTAGGAAGTATTTTTGTATGTGACTTTTAAAGTGTATTCAAAAATCAGCTATTCTCAATTTATTAAAGTTATGACTTTGCAGATTTCTCAGGCCACCCCTAAATCTGCTACTGTTAATATAGTATCTCCTAAAGAACAAAATAATTTGAAAATTAAAGCTCTTCCAAATATATGGCATCTTTTAATAATTAGATACTTTATAAGATTATACATTTCCAGACAGCCTAGAATCAGTGGCTTATAATGGTTTTTAACCCACCAAAGAATGATACACTCTTTTGCCTTATATTTTCTAATCTTACTGACTGGAAAGAAAAAAAGTATATAAAAACAGAAGTTTTAAAATAATAAATGTATTTGTATCTTTAGCTATTCCTTGATATTATTGTTTGTTTCAGATGAGAAGAAACAGATGGTTGCAAATGTAGAGAAACAGCTTGAAGAAGCAAAAGAACTGGTATGTACAGACTTACTGATGTATTTTAGCATACAGCCAAAGCCAGACAAGCTAATGCCTTCCTCCAGCCTGTTTTATACATTGGAAACATTAATTACTGCTGATTAACATTTTGTAATTCAGAATTTTTCAGTCTTTAAATAGAAGAGAATTTAATCACTTCTTGGGATTTTATTCTTTTTTATAAAGTTGATTCACCAGGCGTAGTGGCTCAAGCCTGTAATCCCAGCACTTTGCGAGGCTGAGGCAAGAGGATTGCCTGAGCTCAGGGGTTCGAGACTAGCCTAGGCAACTTGGCGAGACCTTGTCTCTACAATAAATAAAAAAAAATAAGCTGGGTATGGTAGCGTGCGCCTGTAGTTCCAGCTACTTGGAAGGCTGAGGCAGAAGGATCACCTGAGCCCAGCATGTCGAGGCTGCAGTGGCCGTGAGTGTGCCACTGCACTCCAGCCCTGGGTGACAGAGTGAGACTCCAACTAAAAAAAAAAAAAAAAGAAACTGATTCATTAATTTTTATTTCTTCATAATACTTTTCTTGACAGCTATAAATAGCAGAGTTGGTATCAGACACTGGGTTTAGCATAGTACTTGCTTTATAATATTTAGTTTTCTCAAAAACTCTGTGAGACAAGCATTATTTGTCAAAAACTATAAAGGATCTGACATTTTCCCCTATTTGCAAACTAATAAGTGAGCTTGTCACAGTTTCATGGATGCTTATAGAAGACATGAGACTCTAAGTCAGATACAAAAGATGTTTATTACAGCAAAGCAGCTGCCAGCGTTTCAGCCTGGTTGCATCATCTACCTGAGTTTCAGTTCCCACATTGGTGATACAGGTGGGCCTACGTGCACGCTTACAAAAACAGTAGAATATCATATAGGAGTAGAACAAGAGCCTGGGTAGTGTACCACTTTATAACAAGTGTACCGCTTTATAGTAAGTAAGGCCACTGTTTGTTCCAAAGATGTACACATTATTTCCTCCTTTGTGGTTGCTCCCTACAAACACAGCCCTAAGAAATGGCTCAGACTGGCCGGGTGCGGTGGCTTAGCCTGTAATCCTAGTACTTTGGGAGGCTGAGGCCACTGGATTGCCTGAGCCCACGGGTTCGAGACCAACCTGGGCAACTTGGTGAGACCTTGTCTGTACAGTAAGTCACAAAAACTAGCCAGACATGGTGGCGTGCGTCTGTAGTTCCAGCTTCTTGGAAGAGTGAGGCAGAAGAATCACCTAAGTCCAGCAGGTGGAGACTGCGGTGGCCGTGAGCATGCCGCTGCTCTCCAGCCTGGGCGACAAGGGTAAGACTCCAACTCAGAAAAAAAAAGAATGGCTCAGATAGAATGCTCAGGATCTTGCAGTCTTAGCATATCCATCAAGCCTTGCAGGAGCATGAGAGAACCTTGGTGCAGAGATTCTCAAAACTGTTCTTCTGTTTTATAGAAGGAAACTAAGGCTCAGAAAGATTAAGTAATTTGTCTGAGGTCCCATATTCTGTTAAGTAGTCAAATATGGTTAGTACTTAGATATGCTAAGCCCACAGCTCTAGCTATTCACTACTTTCTCATATAAATAAATTCATAAATGAGGGAGCAAAAGACTATTTAACATTGGGTACCAATTTTTGGTTTTAAAGCCAGGTATTGCGAGTATGACTCATCTTTTACTTTGCATTGTGACCCCAGATGAGTGTATTGCTTTTTTAAATGCTGACAGGTACTACTTGGTGTCAGTACCACTTATTGATATCCTTAGGACAGCTTCCCAAAGTGTGTTCTGTAAACTGACATTACCTGTTGAAACAAGTTTGGGAAACAGTAGCTTAAACATAGTTGGGAGTTGGGGTCTTTTTTGGCTGTTGTTTTTCTCCAGAACCTTCTTGGACCCTTAAGTAAGCTAAAAGGTATTCTGAATCTCTAAGAAAGGACCATGGAGGGTAGCTAAAGACAGAAGCATTTCTCAAGCTTAACTGACAGAGAAATACTTATTACATGAGAGGCTGCTGCTTTGGTAGTATTAAGGAGCAGTTGATGATGTTCCCCATTGCACAGTAGACATTTCCCATGTGTCTTCAAGCACTAAGGCATGGAGCTGCTCGATCTTGTCTGTTGCTGGTTATTTTCTGGCTATCAGAATGTCTGATGGTCCCCACATCCTATAAGGTCTACTTCTGATCTTAGAAGCCTGTATGATGACCACTTGTGTATCTAATCCTAAATTGTTCCCTACATCTTTAAAATTTTTTTTAAAAAGTCAAAAATAAATAAATAAATAATTAAAAAAAGAAAGAAACTTCTAGTCTCTGCTGGCTGCTGTCACTATCTCTACAGTGGCTGCTTTATTTATGTCTAATGTCTATAGTATCTAACGTTTGCCTTTCTTTTGAAAGTTTTTTGTTTTTCTTTTTAATGCTTTTTGATGCTCTTTACATTTTTCTATTTTTCTATTCACCTGGTTCTCTCATACTTCCTAGACTTAATGTAAAAAGATTGGCTTTTTAAACACCAGAGCAACCAATCAGTATACTATTTCCTTTTGGTTGGCAGGGTAATGATAAATAGTATAACCAGTCAAATCTTTGGATCTTGAGTTGACTTCTTATTTGACCATTGAGTTTTCAGTAAGAGCTTTTTTGCTGTCAAAATTTGTGTTTTGTTTGTTTTTGTTTTTTTGATTGCTTTCTTCTGGAGACATTGTTTACTTGATGATGTTAGAAAGCTTGTTTTCTGGCCCGATGCAGTGACTCACACCTATAATCCCAGCAGTTTGGGAGGCCAAGGTGAGAGGCCTTTGGGAGGCTGAGGTGAGTGGATTGCCTGAGCCCACTCAAGTTGCCTGGGCAACTTGGTGAGACCTCATCTCTACAATAAATCAAAAAATTAGCTGGCATGGTGGCGCATACCTATAGTTCCAGCTACTCGGAAGGCTGAGGTGGAAGAATCACCTGAGCCCAGCATGTTGAGGCTGCAGTGGCCGGGAGCAGCCACTGCACTCCAGTCTGGGTGACAGAGTGAGACTCCAACTCAACAAAAAACAAACAAAAAAAACAGTATAGACCATAGCTCTCTCATGGAGCTTATAGTCATCTTTATTTACTAATGTAAAGTGTTTTAGCTAATACCTGTGTTTCTGTTTAAAATGATCAGAAAGCTGACTTTACTTCATTCCGATAACATTCTTGTTAAGGACACAGTTCATTATATCACATCATGTCATTTTGATAAGGACCCTGGGAGAAAACTTTTTTAAATTTGACTATTAGAATTAGTTGTGTTTCTGTTGGATATTTGGTTTAATCTCTTGGACACTGCACATCTTGTAATTATCCTGTCTTCCCCTCTACACCGGCCACATAAATATTGTGATAACATAGAACAAGCACATATTAGCCTTTCTTGATTTCACTTTAAGTGCTTATTGTGTTTCCTTTTGCTTTCTTAAGTATGTTCAGTTTTAAGTGTCCATGTAAAATGCCTTATACAAAAATGTGCTTAACTCACAGGTTTTGACTTACATGTACTTTTACAAGTATGTTAGAAGTAAGTGCTTGATGATTTCAGAGTGGTGCTTTAAGTAATTCCTTGTTAAGTAATGATTTAATTTATTGGTGATTCACGTTTATGTTGAAACATGTCAATAGTTTAAATGATCAATGTTTAAATCAAGGCTAATTTAAATTATCTTTGTTTCTTTATAAAAATTGAGGCCTACTAATTGAAATGTAATTGTCTGGTTTATTTATATTCTACTACGGTTATTCAGTCCCTAACACTGGTCAATAAGAATTTTGTTAATGATAAGCTTATGGTGTTTATAAAAATAACTTATTGGAATGCTTTATAAGGTAAATGCAACATGGCAACATTTTTGCATGTGATTTTACTAAATGTGTCCTGGGACAATTTGTTGTTGTTACTAGCTTTTATGCCAACTATAAGTAAGCTAGTTCTGGTACCTTGTATAGTGTTTGTTGTATTTATTCTTTATTATTAGTGATTATCATTACTATATTTAACATTAATCTAGTGATTACCAAGTAAGAGACACTGTTGTAAGCACAGTATAGGAATTGCTTCATTTAGTTTTCACAGCTGCCCTAGGAAAGAGATACTATTTTTAAAATGAGAAAACTAAGGCACAGAGACATTAAGAAACTTGTCCAACGTTTCATAACTATTAAGTAGTGGAATCTACAATGTGAACATAGGAGTCTGACTTCAAAGCCTGTGTTCAGAACATTATAGTACTTATGTATTGTTGCTCATTAAACTCTCATGTGTTGTTTCCAAAGTGTTATATGATCATGTTTAAAAAGTACCCTGCTGTGATTTCAGTGAATTGCATTTAAATTAGCATATTATTGTATCCATTTAACTCTATATCCATGTAGTTATAAAGTATCAGGAGTTAGGCTGGGAGTTGAGATCACATATTGGTTGGTATATGATTTTCCTCATTAGAAAATACTTTCTAGAAGAAGTTTCACCAAATGACTATGGCTGAGCTGTTGTTTCTTTTCTTTTCTTTTCTCTCTTTCTTGTTTTTTTTTTGGAGTTGGAGTCTCACTTCATCGCTCAGGCTGGAGTGCAGTGACACGCTTATGGCCACCCCAGCGTCAACCTGCTGGGCTCCGGCAATCCTTCCAAGTAGCTGGAACTACAGACTCGCACTCCTGCGCCCAGCTAATTTTTGATTTTTATTGTAGAGACGAGGTCTTGCCAGATTGTCCAGGCTGATCTCAAACCCGTGGGCTCAGGTAATCCACTCGCTTCAGTCTCCCAAAGTGCTGAGTTTACAGGCTGAGTGGGCTGATGTTTCATAGATCAACCCCAGGAAATAATGACTTGGTTTATCTTTTCATAGTTCTGGAGGCCCACGGACAGGAGACAAGACCAGGTTAGACTGAATGATAAGCTATTCCAGGGATATTGAAATAAATTATTGAGTGTTTGGGTAAATGAGTGTGTTTTAAAATAAACTCTTGGTGAAGCAGCATTCCATATGTCACTTGTCAAGTACTCAGAACTGGTGAACTAAATAAAAATTAAGCACAAAAGTAATTCCAATGTTATTTGATCATTTAGCACTCTGGGCTTGATTCCTCAACTGATCCCTTCAGCACCCTGAATCTGGTTCCTCAACTACAAAATGAGGAATTGCAACTAAGTCTCTCCAATTATAAACATTTTGTCAAATATGAATAAGCATAGTTTAAATCACATTTTTCTCTTCTCCTTCTAGCTTGAACAGATGGATTTGGAAGTCCGAGAGATACCACCCCAAAGTCGAGGAATGTACAGCAATAGAATGAGAAGCTACAAGCAAGAAATGGGAAAACTTGAAACAGACTTTGTAAGTTGTATTCCACCCTTTGTCATATTTGCTGATTTTTAGACTTTTCACTTATGTTTTTTATGATTTCCTCCTTCACAGTCTTCAGGGGCTCATGTTAAGGCAAGCAACAACTTTAATTGTTTATGAGTTAGAGATCTAAAAATATTTGTAGAAATAACTAATGATAGAAATTAAGGTTTGTTGGATTCATTACTCACAAATAGATCCAAATTATATGGTTCTTTGAGTCTTGATAGTAATTACTTGTATTTAGCATTTATTAAAATTTTGAAACCCAGTTTCCGGTGTTGCAGGGTTTGCAGCCTTTATGTTTGCAGTCCTTAGATTTCAGGGGTTTAGGAATCTCCCATATCGTTAGATGCATGTTTCTCTGTGCATTTTCTTTCTGAAATAAACTCCATAGACTTCATTGCAGTCTTAAAAGGATAGATTATGCCTTCCCCAAAACAAGATTAAAAGAACTACTTACAATTTATCATGTATACATGATCCTTCATGTTGATTGCCCATGAGAATGTTTAACTTTCTTTTCCTATGTATCTGGTTTTCAACTCTATCCAAAATATAGCAAATTTAAGAATATAAACTTAAATACCTAATGTTAAAGTTATTCGTAATTAGAAATTAATAGGAGTCAAAAAGACACAGCTGAGCAATTCTGGTTATATATCCAAGTACTTCTGGTAATGTATTCAAAACAATTGAAAGCAGAGTCTGAAAGAGCGATTTGTACATCCATGTTCATAGCAGTACTTTCACAGTATCAAAGAGATGGAAGCCACCTAAGGGTCCATTGATAGATATATAAATAAAATGTGGTATATACATATCACAAAATATTCAACCTTAAAAAAGGAAAGAATTTCTGACACATGTTACAACATGGATAAACCTTGAGGACATTATTGTAAGTGAAATAAGTCAGTCACAAAAAGACAAATACTGGATAATGTTACTTATATGAAGTATCTAGAATAGTCAAATTTATAGAAACAGAAAGTAAAATGATGGTAGCAAGGGACTAGGGGGAGGGGGAGTAGAGAGTTGTTTCATGGGCAAAGAGTTTTAGTTTTGCAAGATAAAAATGCTCTGGAGATAGGTTGCTCAACAATGTGAATATATTTAACATTACTGAACTATACACTTAAATATGGTTAAGAGGCCAGGCTTGGTGGCTCAGCCTGTAATCCCCTCACTTTGGGAGGCCAAGGCGAGAGGACTGCCTGAGCCCATGGGTTTGAGACCATCTAGGGCACCATGGTGAAATCCTCGTCTCTACAATAAATAAAAAAATTAGCTGGGCATGGTAGCACTTACCTATAGTTCCAGCTACCCAGACGTCTGAGGCAGAAGGATCGCTGGAGCCCAGTATGTTGACGCTAAGGTGGCGGTAGCCGTGAGCGTGCCACTGCATTCCAGCCAGGGCGACGGAATGAGACTCCAACTCAAAAAAAAAAAAAAATAAAGGTTAAGATGGTAAATTTTCTGTTATGTGATTTTACCTCAATTAAAAATAAAAATTCTTAAAAAGATACAGAAAAAAGTAGTTTTAGGTGGGGCTCAGTGGTTCAACCTGTAATCCCAGCACTTTGGGAGGCCGAGGCGAGTGGATGGCATGAGCCCGCAGGTTTGAGTCCCGCCCGGGCAACTTGGCGAGACCTCGTCTCTACAATAAAATAAAAAACAGCCGAGCGTGGTAGCACGCGCCTGTAGTTCCAGCTACTTGGAAGGCTGAGGCAGAAGGATTGCCGGAGCCCAGCAGGTCGAGGCTGCGGTGGCTGTGAACGTGCCACTGCACTCCAGCCTGGACAAATAGAGTGAGACTCCAACTCAAAAAAAAAATTGTTTTTAAACTCTGCTAATGATAAAAGGGTAAAGAAGTTAACTTGGTGAGACCTCGTCTCTACAATAAATAAAAAATCAGCCGGGCGTGGTAGCACGCACCTGTAGTTCCGGCTACTTGGAAGGCCGAGGCGAAAGGATTGCCGGAGCCCCGCAGGTCGAGGCTGCGGTGGCCCAGAGCGTGCCACTGCATTCCAGTCTGGGCGACGGAGTGGGACTCCGATTCAAAAAAAAAAAAAAAAAAAATGAATACAGTAACAACTAACTGCTCTTGTGTAGGATGGTGTAAGAAATTAGGATTTCAGCCGGGCTCGGTGGCTCAGCCTGTAATCCTGCGCCTTTGGGAGGCCGAGGTGAGTGGATTGCCTGAGCCCGCGGGTTTGAGACCCGCCTGGGCAACTTGGCGAGACCTCCTCTCTACAATAAGTCAAAAATTAGCCGGGCGTGGTAGCGTGCGCCTGTAGTTCCAGCTACTTGGAAGGCTGAGGCAGAAGGATCGCCGTAGCTCAGCAGGTTGAGGCTGCGGTGGCGGAGAGCGGCCACTGCACTCCAGTCTGAGTGACAGAGTGAGACTCCAACTCAAAAAATAAAAAATAAAAAAAGAAATTAGGATTTCAGCAAATATATTAAATTTCATGTCACTCACATTAAAAGATACAGATTAGGAAAGATCTGAGCCTTACCTGTGAGCAGCAAAAGTCATGTGTTGGCACATAAATCAGCTGTGTTTTTTAATCTGGGGCCCAAACTCTCAAGGAAAGCCAATAATTTATAAGGGTCTTTCTACCTCTGTTACTGCCTTAGGTATTTTGCTTTTGTAGGTTGTACCTTATAGACGACAATGTATTTTTCCACTGTAAGACCAATGACAATGGGCCTAGTAGAAATTCTTCCTAGGGTCCGAAAATATGGTGATTTACAGTTATGCATGTTTATTTTATATTTTAATGAATATTATCTTGGGAAAGTGAGATGGGTCAGATCAGTGATTCTGATGTAATTGCTTTTAAACTGTGCTTCTATTTATTTAAAAAACAAAATTGAAATCCACAATAAGCCTAAATTGATAAAATAAATATAAATGCTTAGTCTGTGCTCTGTAGTAGATAAACTCTTCTCCAACTGCTTGTGAGAGGATTTAAGAACATGACAAATGAAATTTATACTGAGACTATTCTAACTAAAGTTAATTGTTCAATATAAGTGATGAAAATATATATATATATATATTAAGTTGGGGTCTCACTCTGTTGGTCAGGCTGCAGTTCAGTGGCACAATCATGGCTCATCACAGCCTCAACCCCCTGGGCTCAGGCAATTCTTCTGCCTCAGCCTCCTGTGTGGCTGGGACTACCAGCACGTGCCACCACACTTGGCTAATTTTTGGATTTTTTGTAGAGCTGAGGTCTCACTATGTTACCTAGGCTGGTCTCAAACTCCTGGGTCCAAGCAGTCTTCCTGCCACAGCTCCCAAAGCACTGGTATTAGGCATGCACCATCATACTCACCCAAAATAATATATTTGTAAGGATTATTTTAGTTTCCTTACTTTTTTTTTTTTTTTTTTTTTTTTGAGTAGGAGTCTTTCTTTGTTACCCAGGCTGGAGTGCAGTGGCATGGTCATGGCCACTACAGCCTTGACCTACTGCGCTCCGGTGATCCTTCCACCTTAGACTTCCAAGTAGCTTTCATAGGTGCACACCACTGTGCCCTGCTAGTTTTTGGATTTATTGTAGAGATGAGGTCTTGTCAAGTTTTCCAGGCTGGTCTTGAACCCCTGAGCTCAGGTAATCCTCTTGCCTCCACTTCCCAAATTACTGGGATTACAGGTGTAAGGCTCTGTGCCTGGCTGCTTACCTTATTTTTTCTAGAATTCTTTCCCAAAGATTTTTCTCATAGATTCTAGAAAAGCAAATGGTATTAATTTGCTAAGGCTTGCCATAACAAAATGCTACAAACTGGGTGGCTTATACAACAGAAATTGGTTTTCTTAAAATTTTGGAGGCTGGAAGTTCGAGATCAAGGTGTTGGCAAAGTTGGTGCCTTATGGAACCTCTGGCCTTGATTTGTAGATGGCTTCTCCCTGTGTCTTCATATGATCTTCCCTCTGTACATTTCTATATCCTAATTTTATCTTCTTATAAAACACCAGTCACATTGAATTAAGGCCCATACCAATGACCTTATTTTAACTGAATTACCTCTTCAAATAGTCTACCTCCAAATATAGTCACATCCTCAAGTATGAGAATTAGGACTGCAGCATATACATTTTTGGGTGACACAATTCAGCCCATAATGTTGGGTTTAGTTTTAATCTTTTCTTCTTAAAATATTTTCAGAAGTTAAGTTACTTCTGTGGCTTATTATGTCAGCTAACCCAGTCTTTCATCTTTTTTGTTTCCCAAAGAATTCCATACTGTATAAAGTTCTTTAGGTGTTTGGAAATTGTATACAAGGGGTGTCAAAAAAAATGTATACACCTTTAAGTATGACATTTGCTTAAAAGATGGTGTTAATCAATTGAATGCTAGCATCACCAAGCAACAAACAGGACAGAGAAAATGGCGGAAGCACGGTTGAGTGAACATTACACTGCACATTGCTACTGTAATTTAGTTCAACTTTGAAAAGTAACACATAGATAACATCTCTTAAAATATATATCTATAAGCCAGGTGTGGTGGCTCATGCCTTTAATCCCAGCACTTTGGGAGGCCGAGGTGGGATGAGCAGCCTAGGCAACATGACGGTTCGAGACCAGCCTGGGCAACATGACGAAACCTTGTCTCTACAATAAATCAAAAATTATCCGGGCCTGGAGGCACATGCCTATGGTTCCAGTGACTTGGAAGGCTGAAGTGGAAGAGTCGCCTGAGGCCAGCAGGTTGAAACTACGGTGGCTGTGAGTGTGCCACTGCACTCCAGCCTGGGTGACAAGAGTGAGACTCAGACAAAAAAAAACCAACATGCATATACATTTTTTCTGGCACTCCCTGTATTTGGATAAGTGTTCCTTTCTCAGCTGTAGAACCAACAACTATGAACTAAAAATTTATTTTCTAGACTATCATTAAAAATTCATGTGTTTATGTGTATTTTTGCTACCACAGATTTCTTCTACCATGTCAGGAAATATCTTTCACCACCACCAC